ATGCTCTACTGTATTGATGCATTTATGGTTGAAGGTTTCTATTTGACATTGAGTAATAGGTTGTGGTCGTTTCTTTTTTGTGTGTGTGACTGATTTGGAATGAGATACTAGTAGTCGGCACATTGAACTGTTTGAGACTACGCCGCTTAAGAAAAAAAAAAACGGGGCGTTACATATAGGATACTTGTAAAAAAATTTATGTAAAAACTCAAACACTCTATTAGAGATTTCGAGCTTGTAACTTAGAAATAGTAAAATAAACAATACTAAAATTTATAAATTAGCGAAAGTAATTAGAGTTTAGGGTTATATTCCTTACACAACTTACTTAAAATGCCCAATAGAACTACGGATATGCCTTTAAAATTTTAATAGGAAAAACATACGAGAAAATAAATATCATTAACCTCTACTCAAAACTGACGAAGTGGAGAGGTAATCTCTTAAATAGTTTCTTACTGTTTACAATCTAGATCTTAATCATTTTGATCTTAAATGGTTAATAATAAAGAGATGAACTACACTAACTTAATAAGAATATCAACGTTTTATCACTGATACGAAAAATTAAAGGATTGTAGAAAACATAAAACAATAAATGAATCTCATTTTTAATAAAACTCGAATGCTAGTGCATTCACTATTCGTTTAACTGAAAACGTTTTACTTTCTTAACTCATCTGTAAATTTTTAAATGTCATTTATTAAAATAAGAATCAGAATAGGAATCCACAGTATGCATTCTAAAAAATATATAACAATTAACGCTACGTTATTTTTTAAAATTGAATTTCTTACTATATTCATCTCTATCATTTTATCTTTCCTACCTGTGTTGCTGGGGTTTTATAGGGATCTCCACTATACCTGGACACAAATATTTTCTCTATAATGAAACGATCATCCTCATACTCCGTCCGGTAACGAGCACTAAAATACACTATCGCGTCAATATCCCATCCGTTGACGAGCACTAAAACACACAACCGTGTTAATACCTCGTCCAGTACAAGCATAATTGAAACAATTCCCAACCTTGTCCGATAATAAAACTTCTCAGCCCTGTATGACTGAGGTAACATTCACGGTAGGGTTCACCCGATGCACCAAGTTCGTACACTCTTTTCCAAAACACTCGGTAAGCTCCTTCATTCAACACAATTAATTCACGCATATCTTTTCTTTTATTTACTGTTTAGCCCTAAAAGACATGTATATATGTATCCCAAACAACATATAAGCACATAATTCATATTTTAAAGTTTGTACATGAAATAAGCATACATCATGCCGACAGAAACATATTATACACACAATAGGATGACATGACAACATAGATCAAGAAATCTTATCATGCTAGTTATAGATTTAAAATGAATAAACTAAGGTAAGTAAAGCAATGAATAGATAAGCATAATAGACGATTGAAGAAATAACTACTGTAATTAAAACTCAAAAAAAGAATAGACTGATGAATTACTTACTCCATTAGCAACATGTACTTAATTAATTAAAGGACGACTAGTTAACTAAAATTTCTATTTATTATCTGTTTGTCTTTAATTTAAATGTAATAGAAAAAAATAGTGAGAAATTCTTATCCTGGGTCAATGTCCAGAACACTATTTTTTTTACTACAGTTCCCAGTTCTTAAATTTCTTAGGTTTTCTTGTTAAGATCAGAGTGCATGTCAAAATAGTGTGAAAATATACGAGAAATGGCTAAAAAGGCAAAAATCTTATCGGGGGGTCGAGTTTGGATTCTGGCATGGCAGCACCACCATGCTCCATAGCCTGGTCCTCATTCTCCAGCAGCTCCTCCTCTTAGTCAGGCTGGTTCTCAGTGAAAATCTGTTTAAATCATGGTTAGGAGGTGTCTATCAGTGAAAAGAAGAAAAAAAATCGAAGTTTACTGGTAGTTTCAGCCTTCCGGTACGACGGCTCAGCTGGGCTTTGCCATCCCTCTCTCGTGGTTTGTGATTGTTCTCAGTTCCCTTGCAACTAAAACAAGTTATATGGCTAAGGGTGGAAAAATAGAGAAAACGATAAGAATTTTCGGCTTACCGGAGCCTTTTCGGCATTCTGGCACGGTGACATCGGCGTTTCTCCGGCAGTGGGTCTTCTTCTGACCGCCTCTCTTCTTCTTCTCTGGCTTGTGGGTGTTGGC